TACTACTTACCCCCAGAGGAAGGGCAAGTATTGTCAAGTAAAAATGTGGAGTTTGGGTGCTTAGGGTATGCAAATGTGAGACTTAGTCAAAGCAATTAGCTGAGTAACTATTCAGCTTCAATTGTTTTCCTACCCTGTTTCCAGGCTGTGACTAACACTCGCAGTGATACACACCCAGCCTTTTCCAGCATTCACAACCGGTATACTGAGCGTTGGCCACAACTGCCTGGGATGAGGAACAACCACAGAGTCCATTTCTGGGTTCAATCATTGCACGTCTACAAGTCAAATTTTAAAACAAAAGCAACACACATATAAATGCTTTGTAGGTACTAGTTTTTCCTTTAAACTTTGACTGTCCATGTTCTGATTCAAGTGTTTCTCACTGTTCTTTACACTGACCAGCTCTGCTGTGGGAATAGGAGCTGCTCATAACTAAGTCCTAAATTTTTTTAAAGCAAGTCTGTATTTCTAAAATTGTTTAAAGTGTTTGATAAAAGAATTTCTCAACAAGATGTTAAATAACACAGAAGAGGGAGGCCAGATGAGACTTGAAAACACATGCAGATTGACTGTGCTATAAAACAGATTAACAAGATCATTAGTGGCTAGAAATTGAGGCTTGCCTCAGGCTGGCAGCAGAAAGGCCACAGTTTTCTGATCCTGTGGCCTCAGAAACATCCCAACACCCAGTTCAACCTTTTTTGTCCTCGTGCCACATTGTGTCACTCCTCAATCTTCCCAGTTCCAGCTCCTGGCAGGGCCATGCTGTGAACCAGATCAGGGGACCTGTTCCACTGAAAAATAAGAGTAAAAAGCATCAGAAAATAAAAATAATTTCACGATCTAATTCATGGCACACACCCCGCACCTTGGAGGTGGTACACTGAATGGTGGAGCTGAATTCCTTCCATCTGTACCACCTCCCATGTCATCCTGACATCAAACCCCAGCCCAGCCCAACCAAGGACACAGAGAAGGTGACTGCAGTAGCAGGGGATCTGAGGGATAAGGAAAGAGAGCAAAGGGCTTATTTGGGTTAGAAGATGGCTACAGGGAACCCTGGAAAAACAGGATATTTTCAACTGGATCATGAGGAGCAAAGCCAGAGAATATCTGTAGGACTGGAGTGAGGACAAGTCCTGCTTGTTTGGACATGAGGAATATAAAAAGTGGCAGGAGCCTTCTGAGCTTGAAGAGCTGGGGAAGGACGTCACTACAGCAACACCAAAGCATCAACTGCAAACACTGTGTTTATCCAAACCGTAAAGAACAATTTTAAACAAGAAGAGGTTTCAAAACTGTGTTTAGCTAGAAGATCTGTGTGGGAGAGGGGTGGATACCTTTGGACTGTGTTAATAATTAAGTGGAGGAGTGTGTTAAAGCCTATGGAATGGACAGCATGGTAGTAAAAATACCGTGACTCACCAAAGCTGGAGGTTAGCAAACAGGCACAAGTAAACAAAATTGCACATGACAGATCCTTGTGCAGCTAGGCCCATCTCTCCTTAGTGAAACCAAGGCTGAGATACTCTATTCACTTCTGGAAACCTCATGACCTCATGGAAATCACTTGATACTGAACCTGCAAGAAATAAAAATTGTCTTGTTCAGAATTAGATGAAAATCCAGCATGTTTTCCAAAGCTTTCCTATAAATTTGCAATTTACAGGGTATTTTCCACTTTTATTCTCTTAATAATACCTGAGCTAATGTCTTGCCCGTTAAAAAAAAAAAAACATGAAGAAACCTGCTTTTCTTAGATCATTTCACTCACTCCAAATGCAGTGAGAGCCAGAAGAAAAATCTGGATATATGGTTTAAAAGGGGCAACTGCAAGAACTTTTCCAAGCAGCAGGCCTGTGAAGTCTGCTTTTCTGCATACTCATGTCATCAGAGGTTTAGTTTTTAACTGAGTTATTTTAAAGGACTTTCCCCATACCTTAAAAAAGTTATCAGCTTTTGCATAAATTAATATAATTCTCTCCCCTTCTCCCTGTTTACCTCCTGTTTACGGCTTGAGGTACATTTGGCTCTAGAAACTGGCAGACAAAAACCATAAGGTTTGAATGTACAGCGGCAAATCTTCCAAAGCTGGTCTCCTGCCAGCTAACTGCCTCTTGGGGTGTGCATACACTGGCTGTCTAGGTTCCCCATTCCTACAGCCAGAGCTGGAGACCCCAAAGATTTCCAAGGCACTGGGAAATGCTGAGGACAGGACAGGCAGATCACTTGATGCTGTTCCAAATGAAGTCGAGTACAAGCAGCGTCACACAAGAGCAGTTAATTAGAGCTACATCATAGAGTTTTGCATCCATTTTTAGAGTTATGTTACCAATTGCAGTTGCTTTGATTACCTAACTCGCCTGTGGGTCACTGTCCAAATATTTGTTAGAGAATACAAAATATTTGCTGTTTATCCTGGGGTTCAGCACTACAAATGTTTGTTTAATGTCCAAACTGGGATTTTCAAATGTATCTGATATCTCAGTATACCTCCAGTTTATTTCTATTTAATCTGGAAAGAAAAGAGAACTTGTCAGTATATACCTACCCTACCTATCTCATCCTGAAATGTTTACATTCTGGGAGTTTGCCTGTTGGAGCTGTGTAAAAGGTAAAGTGTCCTGTCACTCTCCCACATGCTGTCAGGTTTGTCATCGCACACAGACACGCACAAAAAGCCTCTGATGCCCCATACCCAGAGCGAGGTACCTGTGCCACTGAAAACAGGGGTGAGGGTATGGCACTGTTATTACAGGGCAAATGAGGCCAGATTAACTGGGGGTGTGAGTGTGCTGACATCACCTAATTACTCGGTGGTAGAATTACAAGTGCTGTCTCTCTGGTTTGGATTGTACAGTTAGATTAGCTATTACCTATGACTGTGCTCTAAGACAAGCACTTTGCTCTAAGTAAAAACAAACCCAAGCCTTTTTGGTTTGTTTTTTTTTTGACCCAATAAAGCTTCAATTACAACACGAACTGAAAAAAAATCTCTATTTTTCTTATTAAGGGCAATGCCACAGGCTAACATCAGGAAACTGAGTCAGGAAGAAATCCTCAAAGTGAGGTGTCACAGGCTACAGATCTGCACTTCAGGGTGTCCTGGCAGCAGCTCAGCACTGCTGAAAATGGAAAATCCCACTCTCTCCTCCTACCCTTCCTTCAGGCACAGGCTCCACTATTTACTGTCTTTGGGCTTTGGTATATTTGGTTTTTTTGAAGCCCCCAAAAAGACTGGCCACTTGTCTGTAGGTTAGTGAGTTGTGTTGCCTCATCTGGAAGCCACAGAAGACCAGAGGTGGCACAAGGGCAAGGAGAGGACACAGGAGAGGGGCAGGAGGAACCCAGACCTTACCCCTTGCAGTTGCAATGGGTTACCTCATTTCACCTGTTTGTTAAACCACAGCTTGGAAGAAGGTGGTTAAGGCCACTCACTTTGGATATTTAAAAACAGATCAAAGAGTGGCTGAAATCCCTCCTGGGTCCTTTGGTTTCCCACTGTATCAATATTGGTTTTATTCCTCTTTTCTTCCCCCCACGTTTAAAACCCTTGACTGGGGCAATGTCACTCTTAACAAGCATCCTCCGTCCCTTCCTGCTCTCTTTGTATCAGTCCTTCAAGCTCTATTTCTTTTGCAAACTTTTTTTTTTTTTTTCCGATTAGTCAACTCTTCATTGACTGCTATAAATGTAATTATGTTTGAATTCTTGCTCCTATTTACCTCACTATTCCGTTCTTTGGGGCTAGATTTTAGCATTTCAGTTTTGTAGAGTGCTGTTTGCTAATGCATAGCTAAAGACCCTAAGACAGCTTTTCAACTTTCATTTGCTCTTTAAGAAAAAATTTGAGTCAGTCATTATCCCACTATCAATCCCAAGAACTATATGCAGAAAAATATGATCTATTACATAAATAAAGGTGAACCATACATTCAAAAAATCAGACTGGAATACTGGAATCAAAATGTACTTAGTCCAGACCCAATGAATCTCTGATTAAAAATATAATAAAATACTGATTTCCCCCCCTCAAACTCTGTAAAATCCTACAAGAGCCCAGTTGAAACAACCAACAGTTTTTCACCATTTTTTCTGTTTCTATCTTTTATGTTTTTCACTCCAGAAATAAGAACTTTACAGCTGGCATGTATATTACACTAACGATGCTTTGATTTAGAAATACAACTGACAGATGTTAAATTAATCTAGTCAGATTTGAGTTACCTTTGAGACCTAGCTACAGTGTTTTCTTCTGGAAGGTATGCACATTTTTTTGCCCCCATGGTTCGTGAAAGTCAGGATGTCTTTCAACAGTGATGTTTTACTCAGATATCCACTCATGTCCCTAAATTAGAAAGATGTGTATTGTTCTATCGGAGAATGTACTTTGAAATCAGTTTTAGATTTGGTTGCTGATCTGGTGGCCCTGCTTTTCTCTTCTGTAAACAGTGATAAATAGTTTCCAGCGGGCCCAAAAACAGCAAGGCTCTTCACTAAATAGCCTGCAGGTAGAATTACTCTGTGTTGAAGGGACAACTCCTACAGTAAAAGAGAAGTTTGATAACACAAATGTATGAATGCACCGAATGCTTCCTGCAACATACCCCGTGTGCAGCTCTCTGAACTGGGACAGCTGAACTGGACACCCCTCCAGCAGGAGCGGCAGGTTGTACCCAGGGCAGTCTGTACCTGGCACGAGGTTTCTGATAAGCTCCTGGATACCAGAAAGATTATTGAGCAAATACATTTGATACAGTAGGCTACTATTTTATCTTGTTTATTCCATTCCTGATCACAAGTCATCACAGCACTAGTAAAAATTAGGTTATTCAATTCTAGGACTTTGTTGCTCCAACAGAATGAAAACATAGTTTTAAAAGATATTCAGGTACCTTAGGAAAAACCTCCGCCTTTACTGGCTGGATTAATCACTTGGAGCAATGTGCTAAATACACTGAGCCGTTCTTTTTGTGGAACACGAGGATCAAGCCTTGATTCTTGGCAGCCACATCGTTCATGCCACGCATACTGGAACCCACCGCTGTTATTTTTTATTCCTCACGGGACAGCAGAGTGCTCCACAGCAAATAAAGGGACAGCTCCTCCCAGAAGGGCTTATGCTCCAGCAGCAGAGAACTCCCAGGAACTGGGGGACACAAGGGTCACGGTAAAGGTCATGATGAAAGCTTGATGTGGCACCTATGTTTTGAACTCTGTGTGGGACCTGGCATGCTGCAGCAATTTTTATGGGTGGTGTTCAGACTGAGGCGCAGTATTAAAAGAAGAAAAAAATGGACTGCTGAGACTCACCAGATGCAGAGACATTGTGGAGGAAAGAAACGGAGACCTTCAAATCGTTCTCTTTTGACAGTGAGGAACTTCGAGGGGAGCCTGCAGGCAGAATGGCTATCAGTATTTCCACCCTTTTGTGTCTATCAGTACCCTGCAACCTGTCCATCCCGTACCCGGGAGCAGGTTTTACCTACTTTTGGGGGGAATTATGTGAGACAAAAGTGTTGGGGTTATTTTTGCCTTGCCAGATTGACTGCTGTAGAAGAGACTAAGCCAGAAAGCTATTTTATAAAACCATAAAACTCAGGAAATTTTCATTCTTGCTGTCCTCTCTTATTGCTGCCAAAAAGTATCTGTGGCAGCAAAACTGCAGCTGATGGGAGGTAAGTTCTCCTGCAAACCACATAAATCAGTCATGTATCACCCCTTTGTCAGAAGTAACATATATGGATGCAAGTATTTCTTGTGTATATTCACCTCTGACTGATGTGTCTGCAACTGAGCGAAAATTTAGAGAGGAAGGCAGAAGCAGGGAACACATTGCTGCACATGAACCCTTCTAGCATTACATGCATTAAAAAAGCATTGTTTTCAGAAAAAGAAGAAAGACTAATAACCACCTGCAGTGGCTTAGCTTTACAAAGTGCAGCCGTCTGGTGTGAACAGAGCTACTCTTCCTACTTGTCAGCACACACAGACACCGTGCCCCGCTCACCCCCAGGACTGTGCAGTCAGCAGCAGGGTTTTTTAAGGATTCAGCCCTGCAGAAAACAGCTGTAACAAGTGCAGTTCTTTCCTACTCCTCCCCGTGGTGTGTTACTGCTTTCCTTATCCTGGCAACATAAATGAGGCATCTTTTTGCCAAGTTCATAGCAGAGGAGGGAGAGTGACTTTCTCTTACTGCCCTCCTGCCTGGATACAGAGATCATCAAGTGGTTCAGGTTGGAAGGGACCTTAAAGATCATCTAGTTCCAACCTTGCTGCTGTTAAGAAACAAAGGGAAAAGCTGTCCATGAGGATAAGCCTTTG